TGTCATCAGCGGTAAGGACTCAGCCTTTACACGTGGTACGCGCTCTATCAAGTGAGCTACCGGGAGCGCTCCAAGTTGACATTGTTTTGTCATCTGTTTTCAATGTCAAGCGCAAACTGTCAAGCTCAAAATAATTGATGAATAAAAAAAGTGAGTTACATCCAACTTTGAGTTACATCCCTACTGTATGTGTGGGACAATGTCAGTGACTCAACACTGACATGCAATGTGCTCCTCACAATGTCCTGTGACGCTAATGATGTCTCATCCAAGCCACTACCATTATCTCCATGATGACAATCTGTCTGTTCCTTCAATGTCTGTCCATCTGGCCGCCTGACTTCAGGACTTCAAACTGAGCTGACAAACTCTGACGCATTTCCCCTCCTCGCTGTCTCTCCCACCTTTCCACTCACTGTCTGGGGTTTACTTTCCTTATCAAGAAGAAATGTCATAACTGTTTGGCAAATTTCATACCTTTCAGCCCTAATCTTTCTGACTTTCCCGCACTATAACACCTCGGGAATATTTGCAGTTCACCTGCTGAACATCAAACAGTCTGTGAGGAGTGTTCTGCACCCTTAAACTGACACATTTCACAACAAACCTGTCATGAAAGGCGTCGGATTGATTTGTTGTCTTTGTATGCACTATTTTCTGTTATTTAATACAACATCCAAATGTATGTAAATCAGTTTCATTCATTTAGAATGGGAAGCCCAGTCTCTAAGTATTCACTTACCTCCCTGACAGTCTATTCCGTGTTTTAATAAACGTACATTGCTGGCACTGGGGATGCATATCAGGTCTATTCATGGTTAAAACATTGGAAAATTACATCAAAGCTAGAGCTCAAATCCAAGAGTCACTGATAACATGGAATAAATCCAAGCGGAGGCTGATCTCTGCCTCTTTCATACACAGAAAGATGTCAGATCTTTGTAATGAAGAAAAATGGAGTCTGTCGCAATCACTTTTGTCCTGTGACCCCAAAGTAATGGCCCGAGTGTATAAAGTAATGTATTAAATTGGCACTCAGTACCGGCCAATACATAAAGCCGTGCACTGTGAATTGCTATTGACCACAAATAGAAGTGCTTTCTTGACAGGGACACATTTCCTCAAGTCTTGACATTGGAAATATACAGGAAGAGAGTGAATGAAAGGGAGGCGAGAAGGTGAAGGAGAGCAAAATGGTAGAGGAGCACGGGACAGATTCACATGGCACTTTGCAAAACAACATGAAAAAGACTTGATTATAGGGTGAGCAGAGGGAGAGGAGGCATGAATTACATGGAGATGAAGAGAGCGAGGCACAGGAGGAGGGAGAAAGAGAGACCAAGAAAGAGGGAATCGGCATCGGAAAGCAACTAAGAGGGAGATTAAGAGATTTTCATTTACATCACAGTATTCTTCAGGCACAGAGCATCACTACCCCTCTCACGTGTCACTATGGTATATACTCATTTTGCTTGTGTGGTTGATCTTATGTGACCCAAATTTAAACCTATAATGTCTACAGTATTTTTTATGCGCTGCAGTGACATTGCATTTAAACTTTTAACCTATTTGACTAAACCTGCTGTCAATTAAGTTCATGTAAGTGTTCATTTTGACATTTAATTTTCATGAAAATGTATTTTAGTCACATTTCATTCAACAAAAAGTAAAGACATCTAAGTCTAACTTAGATTTTTTTATTAGTAAGAATAGAATAGAATTAAGAGGCTTGTCGCATCTTAGTGGTTGCAGGTATTGTTCTTGTCTATCAGAATCAGCAGTCATATTCCATTCCCAAACAGCCAGACGGAAATACACATTACAACTTAACGTCCACATGCTCAGTCCTTAATGTAAAAATGTCTTTTTAAATTAACATTAGCATGCAGGACTGCCAGTTTTCATGTTTTTTCCAGCTGTTTTTTTGTTGTTGTCTCCCCTTGTCTTATTTTTAGAGGGATGGCAGACGCTTGTAATTGTGTTACATTTTTCTTCTTCCAAGAATCGGTAATGTTACTGAACATAACCTTCCTGAGATGCTGCTTATTAGCGCAACAGGTCAAGCAGCTAATCAACCTTTGAAGAGGAGACATATTTGGGCGATGGGGGATTCTGTTTAATTAGTCGGGAGCATAATGTCTGATTCCACAGACCATTGAATACAACCTTCACATTAAAACTAATTTGTTCATTTCTTTCTTTGTCTGTCTGCCACATTATTGTTTAATTTCTATTTGTTGACAAAAAATTTAATGAATTTCATATAGTCTCTCGTCTCAATTTCATTGTAAAAAATGGTTGTCAAAGAATATTTTTCATCCTAGATTTTGTTGACACATTAACACTGCAGTAGCAGGATGATTCATAGAAGCAGCATGTTTTGTTTAACATTGTGCAGTCCTCCCAGCAGAACGTAAATCTGGTTTCATCATCTTTTTTTGGGAGATTCTTTGTTCTGAACTTAGTAGCACAGACATAGCAATATTTGTTTTACATGTGGTCCAGTGTAATAATAGCCCTCAGGTCAGTAAACAAGCCCTGGAACGGTAGGTGATGGATTCGTATCTCATACAACAGCTGGTGAAAGGGGGGGGGGCAGCTGCCCTCTCCTTCAATAACTGGGTCAAGGTTGATATGCCCTTCAGTGAGGCGCCCGCAAACTGTTCTGGTCATAAAAACAAGCTGTTCAGCGTCTGGTACGACTATGCTTCTCTCTGATTGGTCAGCAGGTAATTGATAAAGGTGTCCCTAATTAACTATCTGCCTCACCCTCGTTAGAATCCAGATGTGACGATTTCAGTCAGGGGAGCTGAAGCCTTTTCATAAAGACCTTTCGTTCTACTAAAATGAAGACAAATACTAGACTCATATAATTTTATAATAGAATATAAATTATAAATGTGATGATATAATTAATTCTATTCTACTTAATTAACCTTTGAACCATTATTATGCAGCTTTTCCAGATGTTTCTAACTTGCACTCTATCCTCCCAAAATGGCAGACAGGCTTGTATTTCCACTGTGATAAAAACAAACAGCAGTTCCTCCTGTCCTTCCGGCAGCAGTGGTTGTTGTAACTGTTAGAAACTAGGCCTCAGGGACAGTGAGAGGTTTAAGTATCATTAAAATCAGGGATCAATGAAGCTGCAGGTTTTTCCAGACAGAAGGTGGGGAGCTTTTTACAACTGTTGACTCACTGTTAAACTTCTATCCATAGTTTGGATGGCAGCAAAACTTAACAAGGCACACAGAGTGTGTGTGTGTGTGTGTGTGTGTGTGTGTGTGTGTGTGTGTGTGTGTGTGTGTGGGAAGAGCCGACAGACTGGGGATAAGTGTATCGAACAGTGAGTGAGTACCAGAGGGAACAGGAAAACTAGCAGAAGAATATGCAGCCATTACGCTTCAGTTCAAACTAACAGTAATTATGATCGAAAAGCTTGAAATACCAATAAGATGAGGATTAGGATAGATGATGTGTGCTGCTGTAACTGCAAATTTGTGCAATTTATTAAACTGGTAGCAGACCTGTTACATAACTGTCCAATAGAACAAGTAATTTGGAGCAAATTGTGGTGGGAAAACTAGATTTTTTTCAACACCACACCACAGAGTGTAATCAGCCATAATCAGCACTCCCCATCAACTGATTTCTTCTGTTTATGGAAGCACTGATTGGCCCTAATTAATTGTCCAAGTTGATAATCTGTATTTAAAATAGACTCATTTTGTGGCTACATTTTTGCTAAGTTTGCCTTGAACAACCTCAACCCATGTCTCATCAGTGTGCACTAGCAATGTAAAGAACAGACATACTTTTATTATACATACAACATACAAACAGTACATAAAACATCCTTGCTAATCATTTCATGAGAGTTATACCCCATTTACACTTGACACTATCACTTAATGTGACACAGGTGAATCAGATCTGATCAGATAGTTAAAAAAACAATTGCATAAATCACCTCAGGATGTTTTAGCCAGATGTTACAGAGACATAAATCCATCTCTCCAAGGTGCATACCTGATCTCTTCTCCTCTCAGGTGTACCTGTGTCAGTAAGCAGCCTGTGGGAGTAGTCACCGCACTGACAGGGTCTTGCACCCCGTGATTAAGGCAGCTGAATTTACACTAAAATTGCACTGAGATTATGTGACCCTTCCTGTCAGAAGAGACAGGAAGAAAGACGATTTCAACACTTGCGGTCAAAGTACAGAGATCGTTCTGCAGTCTTTTATCGAACAGGATGTTTGTGAGCTACACAAACACACCTTCCACAAGCGATCGCAGAGCACTTCTTTGCCGAGTGCAGACGCTGGCTTGCAGGGAGCATATCAAAAAGACAAAAGTCTAGTTTCGGAGAGCTCTTTATAGGTAAGAAGATACAACTTTAGTCTCTCTGTTGGATCTTTCAGGGGAATCATCCATGGGGGTGTCTTTAGTTTATGCTTTCAACCCAACACCTACTGGCTCTTACTGAAGTGTGTCACGAAAATATAGTTTTACATTAAAAAAAGACTAAAACAGCTGGGTACTGTAGTTTTTAGTATAGGCACATTTTTTGGGACTATTTTGTGGAATAATACACATTGAGCACACTAGTGAGTATTAATGGCAGCAGGTGGGTATATGTGGATAGATTCAAAATAAACTACAGTGCCCATATTCATTGAAATAGAGCCACATGCTGCCCAGTTTTAATGAAGTTTTGGACCACAATGAGGGTCTCTGGCGCAGGCTTACACTACACAGACAATGCTGGTCAGTAGGATCAATTAACTGTAAGAAAAATATAGAAAACTGCCAGCGTTATTCTTGCATCTGAATTTTGATAGGAGAGACTTAGACACCTTAGAGATCCATGCTAACTTTAGAAATCCTGCATGCAACAATGCTGTAATACTGCAGTCTTAGTATCATTGGTTGTTACTATGGACATGTACCGTAGACGACTTGACAAGGGCGCAGAAATAGTCCAAGAAAATGTTTTCTTACTCTGGACAGATCTCCAACCTCCAGGTAAAAACAGATGATGAAAACATTCCAGGTCATCCACACGACCAGCCAGGCTGCGTACTGCAGAGAGAGAGAGACGGGGGGGAGGGAGAAGAAAGTGAGAGGCAGGCAAGATCTGACAGGCCTTTGTTGGAGAATTAAAAAAGCATGTTCATGTCTTGCATTCAGAGCAAGTGAGATGGAGAGAAAAGACAGAGGGGGGCTTCACTTTTGATGTTGTTAAGATGCAGAGGCGCTAAAACAACGGCGGAGAGTGCAACCAATCACCTGAATCAAACCAGACAAGGAGAGAAAATAGACAACAAGTGTGTGTATGTGCGTTAAGTTATAAGCAAGGAAAGGATGAATGAAAGAAGGAGGTAGGGCCGAATTGATACGCTTAGATCAAACTTACATTATCTGAATATTCTCACTTAATTTTCTATGTGTGTGTGTACATGCAGGTCTTTGAGAAAGGCCGTGGGGTTTATATAATGTGTGGGAGGACTGTATAGAGGCCTGCAGATGCCGTGGGAACTTCTGGAAGTTTTCTGAAACATAAATTATTTTATCGACAGCGCTGCCAGAGACAGAAAAGAGAAACAAATAATTCCACTTGGCAAATTATTCCTACTCCCACTCCACATCACTGTCCTAACCTTTTATTTACTACATACATTGCCTTCCTTAAATCTTGGATCCACCACTCTCCATATTTCTTGTTATATATGTGTTCCCCCCACTATAATTTCCAAAATATATACACTTTAACTGACTTTGAGTAAAATGTTATTTAAGTAACAATACCTTTACATGAGTGTAATATTCTATTTCTGTTAATGATGTGACAAAAACAACTTCCAGTGAGGCAGAAAACCCTGAAAGACACATTCCAATATTATTCAGTCCTCATTATTTAATGTAGAGAGTGCTGAGTATTGGCTAATGAGAGGCTGTTACTAAATCTAGGGCAAGCATATGTAACATGGCTGTTTCCAACAAGTGAGTGTGTGTGTGTGTGTGTGTGTGTGTGTGTGTGTGTGTGTGTGTGTGTGTGTGTGTGTGTGTGTGTGTGTGTGTGTGTGTGTGTGTGTGTGTGTGTGTGTGAGTGTGTAAAACCCACCCCGGTGACATATCTCGGCCTGAACTGAATCGTGCCAAAAAGGCCCAGGATGACGACGATGATGTGGAGGAAGTTGGTCAGGATGGGAGCCCACTGGTAGCCCAGAAAATCTATCACCTGACGCTCCAACACACTGACCTGAGAGGAGGAGGAGGAAGAGGGGGAGGAAAAGGAGAGGAGATTAGTGGCTAGAAACAACAAATAAACAGCAAGTGGTGTTTTCTACAAATTTGGTAATTGTAATAGTTTTTTTAAGGGGAATCAGCCATTACTCATTATTGGAAATGTATACTCACTATAAACTCACATTAATATAGAGAGCTTGTATATTAAGCACTAGTGTGCAACGACTGGAATCTCTTTAGCTGAAGACAACCCCAAACTCCAGATATCTTGAGTACCATTTTAACCTCATACTCAGCCTATTTGGGATATTCACAAACTTGATCCTGATTAGAATTTAAATGACGGTCGAGCCATTCCTTAATGATGGACTTGCTCAAAGGTCAGTAGGGTTAAAGAGGATGTATTTACAATTAGTGCTTTCATCATAACGGAATAAACTGTAATCAGTTATCTATGCTTTACTGTTAGGCTCCCAGGCCTGTGTGTGTGTGTGTGTGTGTGTGTGTGTGTGTGTGTGTGTGTGTGTGTGTAGGTTTATTATCATTCACTCACTGGAGCCTCATGCTGAGATAGTTAATGAAGTCAGCACAGCGTACGATATGGCACTGCTAAATATATTAACACACACACATTCACAGGGAGAGGGACACAGAGAGAGACAGAGAGAGATAGAGAGAGAAGAGGAGGAAGAGGAAGAGGAGACAAAGGAAGTGGTGCATTAAGAAAAGACAGAAAGAAAGAAAGAATGAAAGAGACACCATTATTAGCTTAATTTAGCCCCCAAATAGACGGATATTTACTGTTATACACTATCAACTAGAAGTATTTAAACCCCAACATACATATCAAGTAAACAACTTTATTTTCCATCCACACTCTCTTCACACACACACACACACACACACACACACACACACACACACACACACACACATTTCTGGATGGCTGAGTTTAGAGTGCCCTAATGTGAGACCATATGGCAACACTACAGCCTTTCACAGCCAAATAGCAGGTATTCACACACAGCACACACACACACACACACACACACACACACACACACACACACACACACACACACACACACACAGTATAACACACGCATTAACTATAACCTTGTACAAACTACACCTATCCGACATTAGTTTTAACTATGAGAATGCTTATTGGATGTGAGTGTTACACAAAGTGGAAGGTGTATGAATGAGTGTGTTGTGTGCTGACATATGTGCATCCATCCGTGTGTGTGTGTGTGTGTGTGTGTGTGTGTGTGTGTGTGTGTGTGTTACCATGTCAGGGCAGGTCTGCTGTGCTTGCACTTGACAGCACCTGCTGTTATTGGACACATTGGGCTCAGCTGGCACCACAATGTGTGAGTGTGTGTGTGTGTGAGTGAGAGAGAGAAAGAGAGAGAGAGAGAGAGAGAGAGAGAGAGAGAGAGAGAGAGAGAGAGAGAGAGAGACATTGTGTGTCTTTGTGTTGGTGCCTTTATGTGCGGGACAGGCTCCATCTCTCTGTCTCTGTGTTTCTTTGTGTATCGGCTTCATTTTATTCTGTAAAAGTGTGTCCTCTCATTGACAATTATATAGTGCTGCAATTGTGCCTTTCTCACAAACACATACACACACACATACAGAGGCCATTATAAGAAGTCAGAGGCCTCCCAGCCCATTACTGAGGCCCCTGGGGGCCCCTCTTTCATCACCAATAATATAAACAGTCTTCACTCCAGCTGGGACGCAAACACACTCCCCAAAAAACACACAGTAAATCACACACAAACACAAGTGGTGGAGAAAAAATGTGATAGGAGGGATAAAGAATTTGTTTTTACACTATAGGCAACAACCATATCGATTTCTCTTGCTCCTTGCTCCTTAAGGGTCAGTCAGCAAAAAATAATCTTTCTTTGCTGGTGTTTATTGTTCTAACCTGGGTAATATGGAAGCCTATAAAGAGCAATATTCAAAACCAGACCATCTGTTCGTTTGCACCGCACTCATCTTTTGATGTGAAAGTCTCATTACATGGCTCAGCTGCAATACAACGAACTTCAGCTGCCTCAGTACATCCCTCTTTGTAATTAAGTCGCTGAGTTCTCCCGACAGACAAAAGACAAAGCATGCATATAGCACCCACTGCCATAATCCCAGCATCCTTTGCATGCGTCAAATGACAGCAGCTTCAGATAAGGTGTGAAGTCGCTCGGCCTTTCAACAACTATGACTCTGGGGAGGGCAGGAGATGGAGAGCTGCAGACAGCATAGTCGCTAGCAGCAGCTATGTTAGCAGATATGGCAGTTTTGTGATATGTGCAGCTGATGAAAGCTTTGGCGCTGTACAGGTGGAGCTTCAAGCTGGCTAGCAGGGTCCTTTGGGATCTGCTGCGACAGGCTTTGATGCTGCTGACAGAGATGTTCATTTCAGTTCTCCTGCTTAAAGCAAAAGGGCAGGGTCATGTTCACATTCAGCTTGTTTATCTAGGCATATACTGTACATCCACCTGTGGAAAAAGCACAGTTAAACTGTATTGATTCTGCCGAGACAATTATTAGGAGTTGATTGAAGCTTTGTCCTCTCATAAAGCTGATATGGCTCTGCAGTCGCTGCACATAACTATCTATAGAGCGACGTATACAAGTCTGCTAGGAATATATTTAATGTGTCTATGAATACATGTACTGTTCAGGACACTATGTATCTGTGTGTGTGTGTGTGTGTGTGTGTGTGTGTGTGTGTGTGTGTGTGTGTTGTGTGTGTGTGTGTGTGCTTCACAAAACATGGGAAACTAGTTGATATGCAGCCTACTGTCAATCTGTCTAATGCCAACACAAAATCCCTCAGGGAACAAGAATGTTTATTCCACCTACTGTTTTGTTAGCATAGACTGATGCTCGTGCTCTTGTTAGCAGTTTCCCAAATGTAGGCGATAGCTGAGAGCCTGCATCCATCACCGTCCTGTTGTCACTGTCTGACATTCTCCTCACCAATATAATACGGCCCAAATCAGTTAAAATGTAAAAAAATATGTGCTTCATTTAAACCAACTGTCACGGAATCAAATAGCAATGATCTGCTGGTTGCTATGGGTTCGGGGCCAGGGCTTAACGACCACTTTTATACCAAACTTGTGATTTGAAAGAGTGTAATTTTCTAAACCAGAGAGCTGTGATTTTATTTACATAACCAATGTCGTTTTAACAAGCTGTAGGAGTTGAAAGGTTTAGTTGGCAGTATTCTGACAGTCAACAGCATATTTATCAAGCTGTCACTAATTAAGGTTGATTCTGTGAGTTGGCCAAACAATGAAATTGAAACTCTCCACTGCTGTCTGGTTAACAAGCTCTCTGAATGCTGTAGTCTTACATGATGTTTGAAAAAAACAGACAATGGACGATATCCTGACATGCTTAAACTTTTATCATGTCGTCGTTTTAAGCCTATCAACTTAAAGGCCCTGAACCAGGAGCTCCAGCAGCTTGTCCTGTCAATTTATAAAGCTAATGTTAATGTCAGTTCAAACAGCTACACACCAGCAGTTTGTCATTGTTACCACAAGTGTACATAGCTGTTACCAACAACACCACGACTTTTGAACGTCATAATAATTTAAAAATATTATTTAGTCTTATAAAACTGTTAAAATTAAATGTGATTATTTTGATAGATATTGCGATATGATGCATGATTAGTGGCAATGATCATTTTTGTAACACAAAAATTAAATTTTCACTGAAAAAACATTATTAAGTGAAGTTTTTTGGGGGTCTGAACCTTTCCTAAATCTGGAAAACAAGATGCGTAGTCCAGGGCATCTCTGCAGTATTACAGTACTGCATTATAATGCTGTTTTGTCACACATTTTACCTTTATCAAAAAACTGCAGCTTCTACGATTTGCATATTGCACTTGGGCATATTGCAGTTTGATAATATTTCAATTAATTGTGTATCCCTAAATAAATGCGAGTTTAGTTTCCGTTTCTCAGACTGGTTTGAACCCTGGAAGGATCTCAAAAACAAGCAACTGCATTATTTTACATTATCTTATCTGATACGGTTCATGTAGAAACAAGATACACGTGCAATCATGACTGGTGCAAACATAGCAGAGCTGGAGTTAAATAATTAAAAAATGATGACAATTAAAATCCCAATATTGGTCTCACAGTTAATTTCTTTCCTTCGGATTTCCAGCCCTAGTTTTGGTATAATTCACTGCAAAGATTTTAAATAAGTCTTTAAAAAGTGAAACGTGTCCTATTTCGCCTGATGCCTCCCTGTCTGGGTGGTAAGATCTTTTTGGATAAATAAATGAAAGTTGGAAATGAAAAGCAAGGTTAAACATGTAAAAACAGACAGATATTGGTCATTCAGGGAGGTAGATGAAGGATTTAAAACAAAAAAATACCTGTGTGTGTTTGTGTTTCACCCAGCGCACAGACATGAAGTTAAAGTGATTGAGAAAGACACTCACACTCAAACACTTGGGGAATAGATTGCGGGTGATGAAAGAGAGAGTAGAGAGAGGCGCAGGAGAAAGCAGGGAGAGATTTTGGTCTATTTGATAATGAATGATAGAATGATATCAAAGAATTATTATTGCTCCAGACAGGGAGACAGCTGCACTGTGTGACCATTATGAGACACTGCAGAGCGATAAAAGTGTCTTTTATCTTAAAAAGAAGAAAAGGGAAGAGAGGAGAAAGAATAAGATGTTGAGGGACAGAGAGACAGGCCAAGAGATATGATGAGAGGGCCCGAAAAGATGGAGAGGTGATTAAGATCCAGCATTACTGAAGAAAGAGAAATGAACATCTCTCATCTTCTGTTTCTCAGTTCCTCCATCCTTACCTTCTTCCCTCTCTTGCCCACTCTTTCTTCTCTCAGTTAATCTTCTCTCATCTTCTCATTTCCTCCCTACTTCTTTCCTACCCCCCCTCCCCCTTCCCTGTCTTCTCCTCTTCTACATATTTAATATGCATTCATCTGCTACCAGATTGGATGTGTCAT